AAAAAAAAATCAGAATTTTTATTGTAGTATTTTCAATAAAGGTTTCTCCATGAACATATTTAGTCAAATCATTAACTGCTATTTATCCTTACTCTAAATTTATGTGTCAAAAATGTTCATTTTTAACAAACTCTCATTAATATACAGTAAAAGATTCATTTGATATTGTTAACAAAATCTCAGGGATAAATATAGAATTAAATAATAAATTAGTGTCTTTTGACACTGTGTCACGTTTACAAATGTTCCAGTTAAGGCTCAGGATTCCTTGGAAAATAGTTTACTGGAGAGTAAAAATTTTCTCTGTTTGAGGTGAATGAAATTTTAAAACTTACTTATGAGTGTGTGTGTCAAATGCATATTTTAAGGTGAGAAATATTTTTTTTTAACATATTAAGGGTTTAGCAATAGGGTCTCCCCGTCTCCTCTTTTCTGTGAATTATTTATGTTCAACTTTGAAATGAGGATGTTTAAAACATCTGAGGTGAATCCTTTAATGTGGTTAAGGTATGTAGATGACACGTTTTTAGTGTGGTTAAGGTAAGTAGATGACACATTTTTAGTGTGGCGGAATGACACTGGGACTTTAGTAGTACTTGAAAAACACCTTAATTTAATCATTCCTACCATCAGATTTAAATTAGAAATGGAAAAAGACTGTCAGATAAATGTAAGATATGACTATCAAATGGGACAATAGTTGGCTCTCAACTTTTGTTTATAGAAAGCCATTTTGAGGGTCAGATAAATGTTAGATATGACAGTCAAATGGGACAATAGTCAGCTCTCAATTTCTGTTTATAGAAAGCCATTTTTTTGTAGCAGTGCCACCACACAATAGATCATGTCACCTATGGACACAAAAACTATCCACCTTTTCCACATTTGTGTTTAGAACCTTAAAAAATGCACTTATGATCGTGATGTGATAGCAGAGTTACATTTCTTAAAACATGTAGCCATAAATTGATATATTGCATAATAAACATATCAATAAATTAAGAATGATAACAACATGTACAAGGTTAGAAGGAAAAGGTAAAGTAGTTAACACAAGATTTTGTTTACCATATGTTCAAGGCTCATGTGCAAAAATTTGTAATATAATGAAAAAATATATAAAATGTAATGTATCATTCTCTTCATGTTGTCTCACTACTACCAAAGATAGAATAGAAGAAACTGATAAATGTGGGAATTTATAGTAGTGAAATATGTAGAAATTTAAAATGCAGGATCAAAATAAAAAGTAGATGAATCGGTATT